ACTTTACAGGAAAACCCGATAAACAATCAACCAAAAAACCGATTTGTATGCGTATTTCGATTTGTCAACGTGCTTAGTTCACAGTGAATTAAATGCAACAAAAATGTGACTTGCACAACAATGAGTTTGATCACCAACCTGGGAAAAACCTTTTCGTCTACCATCGTTCCGAACGTCCTTACAATTCTTCCGCTAACACCTGCTACTGTAGTTTCTTCACTGTACATTTCACCCAGATATTGATCACTCGTACTAGTGGTTCGATTTCGTACTTGTGGCATTAATTCACCATCATAGCTATACCTAATTCCCTAAAAATAAATATTGATTGGCTGAATCTCATAGGTGTTCCAGTTGCCAAAAGAAAGGACATTTCAAACAGCTGTGAAACATTTCAAATAGGCTTCGACAAACCTTTTTAATCATTAGCTAGTTAGTAAGCACTAACAGAACGTGTGGCTTATTTGCCGTAATCACTTTTTACCTTGTATTAATACCACCATCAAGGTACTCTTAAGGTCCATGTTGCACTCAATCACAGAACAACAAAACATTTAAAACAGAGTGCATGTTTAAAAAGCGAATATGTAGAATCTGATCTTATTCTTCTTCTCTCATTCATGATGTATTCGAAACATACCGCTTCCACTGGTCGTTGTTCATCATAACAAAACGTCGCGTTTGGTGCAAAGTCCAAATTAGATTGATCGGCAGTCGACGACGAAGCATTCGACGTTGTGTTACCCGTTGGGAAAAAGAATGAGACCGGGTTGAAGGACGACGTGAAATCATCACTTGATGATTGTTCCTAAGGAAAAGAAATACGATTGCTGGAATTTGCTAGCGGCTTATTCATTGAAAAATACCCGTCTCATCAGCGCTTCACCGACCGCCGTTCTCCCACTTGTCGAATTAAATTCGAACGCTTGAACTTGCGCTGTGGTGTCATTCATGGTTCGAAATATCCTTAAACGAACACGTTATCAAAAAAGCTTCAACATAGGTCAGATACAGGACTACTACATTCGGTCTGTTTGGCAGAACTAGATCAACCGCACGTCAATGTTAACCTATTGAACTTTTTGAATCCGAAACATCCCTTACAGTCCCAAACTAGGAGTTGTGTGCCATCCGAAAGTCCCACTCCAAAAAAAACCCTTATCAGTTAACCTTCTACTAGTTTGTTTTAACATCCATGATTTAATACTCTTTGGCCTACAAGTGGTTCATGCACAAGATCAAAAGGTCAGTTTACAGAAAGCTAACGCAGCAATACTGTAAGGCAAAAGTTCGATAAATAAAACATGCCTGAAGAAAAGAATCAAACTTTTTTATTCAATAACTTTTTAACTTTCCGATTACTGATAAATCATTGATCTAATATAGTTGAATCAGAGCATCTCTGACCATACAGAACGGGGCCTCGCCTAGAAAAGGCTTACTAGTTTCCCTAACTCCTATGCAAACATTCAAATAAAAAATTACGAGAATTCCGTAATAATCGACTTTGTTTTTAGTGCGAAAATACTATCATGCTTGAATAATTAACCGTTCTATATAAATATACCTCTGAGCAAGTTGAATTCTATCACCGAACTTTGGGAACAAATAAACATCCCTTACTCCACAGATATAACAATTCATTATCGATTTGTAATCACAGTGGCTACTGAATAAATAGAGACTATATTAGACCTTTTAACTGAATAATTTTCGGACATCTTGCGAAAAAATCGAAGGTTCATAGCTTTCAGTCATGGCCACCTTATTAAACGATCTGCTTCATCATGGCAAAATCTTTCTGAGCACAAACAACTCGAGCAAGTTGGTATTGTAGGCATTCTCTCTGAGAATGGTTAACGTGTTCAGATGACGGCTTCGTCAGGAATTAAAAAACGAAAAACTTCTCTTAAAAACCTAAAGTTTGTGCTATGTACCTCCATATATCTCCCTAAATGCTTACAAGTTAGTAGAAGGAAATATGTTCCATGATCTCCCTTTTCAGTGTTGTTCTCCTACTATCTATAAACATTCATTTGAAGATACTCATATGACGAAATGACAGTTGGGTTTCACCTCGTTATCAAGAAGTAACAAGATCAAACAATATGTCACTATAAAAAAAATTGAAATATATTCGAATTACTCTTTGATTGCATCAACGGTGGCTGCGACGTTATCCGTTGGTACAACGAGAATCATTGGCTGAACAACTGGCTGACTGAAACATTTTATGAGTAATATTTGAATATACATTCGAAATAGAATGAGAACATAAAACACTCACAAAAGCAGTAGTAATTACTTGATACTTGAATGACCCGTCCTTACTGGATGTGTGGGCACCAGCATAATCCCCATTTTTCGAAGATTTGTTGGTTAAGCCATTGTGGTTCCCTGGAAATCCGAGGTCTGCCTCAGGTCTTCACCACCACAGGCAGTCGCAGCCCTTGGGGATCAGAGGGAGATTTGCAACCAGGGGACTTCGATACGAGGACGGTGGTCGATCCTGGTATTAGTTTACTCTTAGCTAGGCTTCCTGATTGACACGCTGGACTTCTTCTCAGCTTGGGAGACCCTATGAAATGATGAATCCCTCGCTATACATCGCAATTCGACACACAGGAACACATTCCAGCCACGATGAGGCGGCAAACCGTTGCAAGGGGTTGGAAAAACAGTAGTAATTACGGAGTTCTTTACTAGGAAAAAAAAACCCACGCTTAATTTTCCTCTCAGACACTCAAAAAGCCAGATACGCTGCACGAGAACCTACTGAATAATAAAAAATGTTTCTTCAAAAAACCATGTATTCCATGTTTCTATGGATACATACAACAGTACAACGTTAATTTGCAAGCTCTGCAAATCCATTAATCATTGAAGAAATCATAAGGGTAGCAGCAGAGTCTCCATCGGCCTCTCTCACGCGCCTCAGTTGCCCAATGGGCTTTGTTCGTGTGGAAACGCGAAAAACATCACACTCTTGTTATGCCTTTTTGTAGTACATTCACCAAAATGAAGTCATAGTACACTCAGCTTCTGCCGATTGCTTACAAGATCAAAAAATGGTAAAGCTATAGGTGTTCATTAAACCGTGAGGGATGCTCCATGCATTCGACTTCATAAATCTTTGCTTGGTGTGATTGAATGCATGTTGGCTTATAGCATGACCTACGGTGGCTTAGCAATGTACAAAGTTAACACTCTTACTCTTCCTGACAAACATGGTAACACTTTGCTAACCCAGGACGGATGAAGTAGTTGGCAAGTTTGGCGCACAGGGTCGACATTCACGTGTCTGTCGGAAGACATCACTAACCACTGCGCTACACGCATCCTATTACAAGCCTAACCATATAAAATACTTGATAATACACTGTGTTCACTTATGAGATGAATTTTTTTCTAGCGATCGTTAGAAGTCTTCAACCTTTGCGTTCATAGGTATAAAAAAAAATTGGAAAGGAAGGCGTCTCATGGATTTCAACGCAGCATACCACGAGAAAAATTGGATATTTGAGTGTTTTTTTTCCAATATTACAAGCGAGATTCAGTCATCACGTAAACAAGCGAATGTATTCGAAATTACCTCGTAGACGTCGATACCTCAGCAGAAGTGGCGACAGTAGCTGTTGAGGTGGTAATAAGATCCTTACTTCGAGCTTCTTTTAGAATTCGGTCAACCCTTTTCACATACTTCTTCTTCCTAGGTGGTTGTTCACAACTGAACCTCGTCGTGTCATTTTTAACTTCTGCTGTAATGATAACATAGATACGAAAGTAAAGTCCATCGATGAGACACCATTACGCCTTAAAAGAGCTCTAGAAAATATGCTTTCAAGAAAAACTATGATTCATAGACCGAATAACTGACAGCCTTCAGTGGTCTTAACTTTTAGATTAAAAACTTGTAAGCAAATACTTCGCCTAAAACACAAATCTTATTCATTTAAAGAACGGTTGATGAACATAACATTAACCCTTTGTCGACTATGCTTAATTTTCAGCTCTTCCAAACGTGATTGCTCCTTGACAACAAACAATAATTTTCTCGATAACCAATGGACCTGCGGACTGTGAACATGACAGGATTGTAGAGGACTCTGCGCTAGCATTCCATAGGTGCGAGTGGTATGCATGCTACTATTTACTTTGAGTTACTAGGGTCCATGAGTTAAACACAATGCTGCATTTGGAACTGTTTTTTGTACCTTATGTGGAAGATATTTCTCTATTTTTTATACCCGCACATTCCACACAATAGCTATGATTCAACATAGCGACTAAACTGAAATAACAGTTGATGGTTACTCAAATTACAGGTCAATGGAATTGAAAAAGGTTCTTTATTAAGTGCAAGTAATGCCTTTTCTGGTCTTATCCTTCCTAGTCTGTTATGCTTTCGATTAGTTATCTATACATAAACTAGTAAAAGAAAGTTCTGAAATTTACTGAAGTGAAAATTTACACTATAGTGCACATATTGTCCGCTCGTGTCCACTTCTATGTACACTGTACTGAACACAGAGCCCGTTATAGGTTACCAAGTTGTAAGAAAGCTAGAACGGACTTACACGGGACGACATGAAGAAAGAGAATAAATAAAAAATTTAATAGTTAACACTTTCGCGCAACCTTAATTAAGTCCATTATTTTTCTCCTTCCCACCAGAGAAAACCCAGCGACAGCAATGTCAGGTTATAACGCACACAACGACGCTCATACATTGCCAAAAGCAGTATTCCTGCACCATCATAATGGTAACGGCTATAGATACAACATAACAAACCGTTATTTTCCGTATCATATTTTTCGGTGTCACTTTTCGATAATCATCACAGGTTTTGAAAGGCCGCGAATTCGTGAGTGTTTGTAAAGTGCGTATGACCTTGTGTTGCAACACTTCACGGAATTGTTGGTCAATGCAACTGTATGGTCACGCCCACTTTCGGAAGTATAAATTCACGAATCTGCCAGTATGACAACAATTTGCAATAATGAGCGCCAAATTTGTCGTCACTGTTGCATCTGTTGCATCGGCACTGGTAATCTTCACCAGTTTACTCTGCGTCGGCATTATTTTCCAAGACATCAACGACTTCTACAATGATGTCATGGAAGATATGCAAGAATTCAAGGTGTGTCTAAGATCTAACTCAACACTTCTGCAAGTGTATAATTAATCAGGAAATATCCCATTAAACCATCAATATATTTCCAAATCTTTGTTTTCCTTTCTAATGAAACATTCTATGTTTTAGATGCTTTCCAATCAAGTGTGGAAAGAAATGGTCATTCCAACTTCGTCATCTGCAGTTGCGGAAATCGGAAGAATGTTCGAACGTAGTAAGCGTGCCTCTGGGCAATGTGGCTGTGCCGCACAGCCTAATAACTGCCCATCTGGTCCACCTGGACTCCCTGGTGAACCTGGCGTACCTGGCGAAGACGCACCAAACGGTGAAAACGGACGCCCTGGTATTCCCGGAATATCAATTTTAAATCCAAAACAGTCCATCGGTTGCATAAAATGTCCACCTGGATCACCTGGACGTACCGGACCTAATGGACCTCAGGGGGCCCCTGGACCAAATGGACGCCCTGGAGCGCCTGGTGTACCTGGAGGTAATGGACAGCTTGGACCAACGGGACCAATAGGAGATTCAGGAACTCCTGGACTACCTGGACCTACTGGTTTGCCTGGAGCACCCGGGAAGAATGGAAAACGCGGAAGAGGTTCACCTGGACCTCAAGGACCTGGAGGACCTCAGGGACCAGCTGGAGAGCCGGGAGTTAATGGACAGCCTGGACTACCCGGACAGATTGGTGCGCAAGGACCTGTTGGTGCAGCAGGAAATGATGGTCCAGTGGGTGCTCCTGGACAGCCTGGGAATCCTGGAGCACTTGGTTTACCTGGAACAGATGCCGCATACTGCCCATGTCCCGCTCGTACTGCTAATGTTGGCAACGAACCACAAGGTCAAGGAAATCAGGGCTATCAGGTTCATCAAGGATACAGACGTCGCTACTCAAAGGTATAATTACTGTGAATTCTCTGAACTCGATGTAATGAGTGAAATGAGAAAAAAAATTCGTACAACTTTGTTCATATTTTTCAACAACAAGTTCCTGCAAGAGTTCTTTTCCACAAAGAAAACTAGTGAGAAATTACGATGTTGCTGTAATATAAAAGTCAACAGATTTTAACATATCTCAATTTTATAGCAGAACAAAAAATAAGACACCTACAAAGTATAAACAATTAATGAGTGAAGTTGACTACTTTAAAACACAAGACTGGAAAGTTCAATAGTTCATAGGAATGATTTATAAACAATTAGATGTGGTAATTTCCAACAGAATTCGCTTACAATCGGTTGACTACTATAAAATTTGCCGCGCATTTATTCATGCACAAGAACTACGCGATCTAAAGCCGCGCGATATTTGGTCGATGTGAAAGGCGCAAATGGAACTAACACTAACACGAGGGCGTCGCCTTCTCGTTCAGCAATCGCGACGTTGTTATACGGCATACATTTACTTCCATAGAAAAACACACAATACAATACAATAGTAGTTGACGTTTCGGCAGTATCGCCTTCTTCAGAGCCTGGAAGGGTATACTGATATAGAATCTACTAGGCCAAACGCTTCAATAACACTTACAAAAAGACGAAAAACTCTATGGTAATTACATGATCAACAACTTCTCAAAAAACCCACTGCTTTTTCGTGACTTCCAATGAGGAAGATTAGAACAGCTGATTATAGTCGCATATGGCTCATGACTGCACCATCCCACATCAGAAATTGATGCGAACATACGGCGTCGGGTCGCGTATGACCTCTGGGCATACATCCCTGCTATTCATTGTGGGGTTTTTAGCATTTATCCAAAAAAGACTCAAGAAGTTTGCACGTTTAGTCTCCCGTGCGAGGATATTAACTTTTACATTAAAATCGACTCCGCTACGCTTTTGTATCCTATGCGTGCCTAGTGGGGTATTTTGTCTAAGGTTTCGTTTGCCATCTAGGTGTTCTATTATACGGGCACATAGAGTTTTTCGTCTTTTTGTATTTGTTATTGAAGCGTTTGGCCTACTAAATTTTATATCAGTATATCTTTGCAGGCTTTGAAGAAGGCGATACTACCGAAACGTCAGCTGCTGCTGTACTGTATTGTTTTTCTATGGAAGTAAATGTATGCTGTATAACAACCTCGCGATTGCTGAACAAGAAAACGACGCATTCACATTCTAATTCTGAGTTTAATAGAAAGTCGATTTCGGGAATAACATGCAGCGCTAACGAAGAGAATTAGTAAGAGAGAAGCTCAGAAGTTTATGTAAAGCAAATAATTAAGATTCAAGAAAATTCTTATTCGAAACTAGTAACCTTGACAGCCGGCTCCAATACATAGCTCGACTTTTTCCAATGACATTTTGGCCATGACATTTTTCCAACATTTTGGAATACTACATGCAACACGTCCGGAAAAAACAGCGACATATCAAGCCATTAACACATCCAGGGCGCGTGTGGCGCAGTGGTTGGAGGCGCCACTGCGACACATACGTGGAGTCAATCCCCGCGCCAATGACCCACCAAGTTTTCCATCCCTCAGGGGTCGGAAAATTGATACCAGACTTGCCTGGAAGGTAGCAACACGAGAGCATCATTCTTTATCCTTTAAGATACCCAGTCATTGCTGATGTTTCTACATCTGAAGTAGAAGGAATACAGTGAATTACGGTCAAATATGGATTCAGTCCCTGTTTTCTCATTATTTGCAAAAAAGCGGAGAACTAATTCATTTGAGATAAACATTCAAACACTCACGACGACGCCTAATTTTCAGCCTCTGTGGACCTTGATAAGCAGCGGACTTCGTTGATTGCCAACAATGAATGGATTGTAGAAAACATTTTGCTCTATCGCTCTATGTATATGAAAGATATTTATGGCGCCATTTATTGGATTACTACTACGGCCTATCATACAAACACATTACCTTCAGCATTTGCAAGTGTTTTGCAACTTATAGCCCTCTAATTCACTACTTTCTTGATGATCAAACATTAGATGTTACTCCATTCTTTAATAATAGTAAAGCTGATATATTCATTTTCTCCACATTAAAATATCAGCCTTGAATAAGATTACATTATTAGATTAGTAGATTACATTACTTAAGACTGATATTGTAATGTAACAGCGGCACATTACGCTTCCGAGTGAACTCTTGCGGTTAGTCTTTGCGCGAAATTCTCAGGAGACTGATAGAAAGCAGTGAGTATGCGAAGAAGCACTTTGCTTCCAATGCGACTGAATCTTGGTTTAGTATTTTCTCTGTATGTTTGTGGAGACATTTCACTGGTAGACCGCAGTTAACTTAACACATCCAGAATCTGAAGAAGGCGAAGTCCGCCGAAACTTCAGCTTTTCCGTCAATAAATAATAAAGTAACACATTGTGCTTGCTTATCAAGAATACAATGAATTATTTGATCCATACCGAGGTTAACAGAAAGTCGGTTTTGGGAATTATGGGTCTCTATTTCAGTATTTTTTCTACCCACACACTATCAAACATTTGCGCAAATGACAAGCAGGAATTACTCTGTCGTCACGGACCACAAGGCAGAAAAGGCACAAAAGCGGAAGGAGGTGAGCCAGACATTTCTTGCACTCCTGATGATGCTGTACGCACAGAAATGCTAGGAACTGTTGTCAACAACAAAGTAGCGACTGGTACTAGGCATCCTATTGGAGTCCAAATCCCTCCCATCTCAAAATCGTAGAGGATAACGTGGAGAAATAGAGAAGGTTGGCAGCACTGGATTAGCAAGACTTTGCCGGAGATAGTACCCAGGACTACATGAAGGTCCTGCACGTAAGGTCCTGGCAGTGTTGGATCTCCTGGTATTTAAGAAAAAATGCAACACGCGGAAAAGTACCTGGAGACTGAAACAGAAAAACTTCAAAGTGCGGTTGGTCATCCGGAAGCAAAAGAAGACGGTTCCTCAAGAAAACCTGGTCCATAAGGACCACCAGATAAGGCTGGTAACCCGGTATAGCACATCCAGACCACATTGGAGATAATGATCTATGTGGACTTGATGCCGTTTACCCGTTTACTGTTGATGCCCTCGTCGCACCGGCTCTGCAGAGAGCTCATATAAGAAACACTTACTTGAATACTTGAACGGCCCGTCCTCACTAATTGTGCGGGCCTCAGCATAATCTCCATTCTTTCGAGTTTTGCTGGTTTAGCCATCGTGGCTCCCTGGAGTCCCGAAGTCAGTCAGATCAAAGTCTGCCCTAGGTCGTCATCACCGCCGGCAGTAGCAGCCGTTGTGGATCAGATTTACCACCATGCGACTAGTTTGATACCATGATAGTGGTGGATCGTGGTATTGGCTTACTCTTAGCTAGGTTTCCTAACGGAAAAAAAGAACATATCCAAGAAGTAAAATATTATATAAGAAACGGGAAACGTCTAATTATTAAGTGTTAGGGACGCGGCACCATTAACGTGACTAATATAACACCCGCATGCATGGCTGTTGGATTTATTATGAGTAATTCATGCTGGTTCGGCAATAAAAGATTTCATACTGTGTACTACATATATTCAGATGAGCTTCCAATTCCAATTTTAACTTGGAAATTCATCTAAGTCCGAATTCGAGCAATAAAATGACTCCTGATGAGTGATAGGAAAATTTGCTGTTCAATTTAGTCAAAAAAGAATTAGTTACTTCTCAGAGTCGACATTCTATTAGCCTTGACATTGTTTAATAAGTCAGTGCTCCTTCTCTAAGCAGACACAAAACTGTTAATAACAAGGCTTAGTACAATACTGGTTGATGATTCGGGAACTTCGTCTTCTTCAGAGCCAGGACAGGTCAAATTAATTTCAACCTACTCAGCCAAACACCATGCCCTGAATCAGTTACCAACTCAATAACTCAATAAGATTCAAATGGTTTTTATTCTGAATAATAAATTTTGTTTGAAGCAAGTTATGACATTTTGAATTACACGGGTTATAAACGCCCATTTATTTCTGAACAAACTAATACTTTTTCTTTTGTCTATACGAATACGATCAAGACAACTATTTTCACTCGGAAAGAAGTTAAATACAGTTATTTGCGTTAAAATTATGTAAAGCAGACAGATGAATTGTCGTGTTTCGACTGAAAAAGTCATTCGAACCTGTTTTTTTTTTGATAATGCTGAGATATTTGCATAAGCAGTAAATAAAAAGGTTAAGATTGTGATTATAGCTATAGCATCTGCTTAACTGGGTTAAATGCCGATTTGGGTTCCCCAGATCAATCCCGCCGATGGGTGATTGCTGATGGCTGTAATCGATAGAACTAGTTGAGAGACAGCCGAAACGAAGGACCCGCATGGTGTGGTGCTGAACGCGTTACTCCCCGGAAAGGATAATAGGGCGTTCGTTCCCTATACATATACCTGCGGTCCGGGGTTTTGCAAACAACTCAGCATTACAAAGCTATTTATATTTTTAAAGTTATATTTCGCAACCTACCCTGCCATTAAAAAGCATAGACAGTAAATAAAATGGTTAAGAAGCAAAAAAATTATTTTGCAATTACGAAAGAACAGCAATGTCTGCTAGAAATTACTAATATTTCGCGAAAAAGAATTTCAACATAAATATATTTGTAAGAGCTCTCATAAGGCAGAAAGGTGGAAATCATAAGCAACTATTTTTAGAGTTAAACAATGAAGCCCTTCAAAACACTAAACAGCGAAATGGAAGTAACTACCAAAAACGCAAAACAAACAGGTTATATGAATATATAGTTTAAATAACTTGTGTTAGTACTTCCTGTGAAGTAAGGACATCTACTTTTAAATTATAAGGTCACTTCAGAAAATCATACACGGAATTCACAATGCGTATTCAGAATCTTAGAAATGTTATTTATAATTCAATTCTGCACCACCCAGAATTCCTAGTACTTCCTGCACATGAGCAATAGTTTGCAAACTTTTGTTTTTCA